TTACCCCCTCGTGGCTTTTTTTCCTGCAATATTTCCTGCTCATGGCGGCTTTTCCTGCAATGTTCCCTGCTCATAGCCTTTTTTTCCAGCAACATTCCCTGTTTGTGGCGTTTTTTCCTGCAACGTTCCCTGTTCGTGGCGGTTATTTTCGTGCAACGTTCCCCGCTCAGGGTAGTTTTTCCTGCAATGTTACCCGCTCGTGGCTTTTTTTCCTGCAATATTTCCTGCTCGTGGCGGATTTTCCTGCAACGTTCCCTGTTCGTGGCGGTTATTTTCGTGCAACGTTCCCCGCTCAGGGTAGTTTTTCCTGCAATGTTACCCGCTCGTGGCTTTTTTTCCTGCAATATTTCCTGCTCGTGGCGGATTTTCCTGCAACGTTCCCTGCCCGTGGCGGTTTTTCCCACGACGTTCCCTGCTTGTGGTGGTTCTTCCTGCAACGTTCCCCGCTCGTGATGTTTTTCCAGCAATGTTTCCTGCTTGTGACGTTTTTCCTGCAACATTCCCTGCTTGTGATAGTTTTTCCTGCAATGTTCCCTGCTCGTGGTAGGTTTTTTTTCCTACAACGTTCCCTGCTCATAGCCTTTTTTTCCTGCAACATTCCCTGCTCGTGGCGGTTTTTCCTGCAATGTTCCCTGCTCGTAGCCTTTTTTTCCTGCAACGTTCCCTGCTCGGGGTGATTTTTCCTGCAATATTCCCGTCTTGGGCTGATTTTTCCTGCAATGTTCCCTGCTTGGGGTCATTTTTCCTGCAACGTTCCCTGCCTGTGGCAGTTTTTCCTGAATGTTCCCTGCTTGTGGCAGCTTTTCCTGCAACGTTCCCCGCTTGTGTCGGTTTCCTTGCAACGTTCCCCGCTCGTGTCGGTTTTCCCTGCAACGTTCCCCGCTCGTAGCCTTTTTTCCCTGCAACGTTCCCCGCTCGTGGGGGGTGTTTTTAAAAAAAAACCTGCACAGTTGTGTTTGCTCCAGCAGCCTCCCTCGACGTGCGGTTGCTTCGTAGCCGCCCTCCTGCTGCAGCTGAGCCCCGAGCTCCTGTTCGGCAGGAAATGCAACAGAAGCAGTTGCATTTCCCTCGAGCAGAGCCAAGCGATGTGTTTACCAGGGCGGGCTGCCCCGCGTCCTCGGCGGGGGCCGTCCCCGT